GTGGCGGCCTAGAAACATATCAAATTATATGTTCACCAAAAAATAAGGAATCCGATGAAAATCGTGGTTGTTAGGTGAGACTGAAAAGAACTGAACCTTGGACCGCGCGCAAGGAACGAATCGGTTGCTTTCTCTCCGGCGGCTCGTTCAGCACAACTGCCGACCAACTCTGTCTCGCACTGATTGACACATCCACATCAAGAGTTTTGCTCCTATCTGCTTTTATCTACGCGGGAGACCTCCGACAGTTGACAGCTCTAAGGTGTAGTTGAGGATTTGTATAATCAAGAAAAGGGCTATTTATTCCTATAATTTCGAACGTCTATAATTTGTGTATTTTGTGACTATTATAGTTTTTCTTCAAATAACTTCAGTTCTTTTTGTGTATATTAACTTAAGTGAACTGAATATCTTATATATACGTACTTGTTAGTACTTGTCCTGTCCTTTTAATTGTGTGTATAGACATACTTAGCTGCTAGGTCCACTACACATCATTGAGAGAACCATTGGAAAGACAGTCAGTAAGCACTAGAAAGCTGTTTTGTCAGCCTATTCTGGGACTCTGCTTCCGCAGTACACACTCACACTGCGGGGTTCGAAACCATCATATATATCGCAAAATCTGTCTTCTATTTGAATAAAGCAGAACAGCAGGGTGGTTTGTACAGAATAAGGTGATGTTACCATCATTGTTTACCCCGTTAGCTTCTTATCAACTCAGCTGCTTACAGACTAAATAAATTATGATGTTTATATAAGAAAAGCTTTGACATACTTGCATGTTTTTCGTGATGTCAGTTGACAGAAGGTTCCGCAATTAGTGAACAGTGCTCAGAAAGTCACACTTATATAGTTTTTACACAGGCATTTCAAGTTTAAACAAAATAAATGTATTCATACAATGATGAAGGAGTTATGTAGTAGAGATGAAAGGTACTTAGGATGAGGAGTGACTAATAAACTAGATAACAAGGTACTGAGTTTAACTCAAATCATAGAAACAAGAGACAAGCGAAATAACACTATATCAAAGGGGGTTGAAGTTAAAGCCAGTGATTACGTAATCAGATGAAAGTGAGAAAATAAAGACAGCCAGTTACCAGTCAGGGCAAGGAAAGACTGATGATAACTGCTTCTTTCTGAATAATTAAATCTGGTTTCAAGCGTTTGATAGAAATTGCTTCGGAAAACTTGAGGAGAATCGACCTCCTTTGTCTATTGATAATTTTAAACGAATTTATGATTTCAAACTCATGACTCGTATCCAGGAGATATCTGGTAATAGCTACTTTTATAAAAGAATATTTAAGTTTGATATCACAATCAGGAATACAGCACTATTCGTTTATTGATGACATCTTTAGTATTGTTTGTTGGTCACAGTCAAATCCTGGAGTTCGCATAACTTTAAGAATTTGTATTCAAACATCTTCCATATCTTCCCCTCCCTATTGATCTTGCGTCATTCTTCTTACAAGTGACTGATGTGGATTCGATGAACAAGTATTCAGTGATCAGCTTTTCTCTCCAGATATGTTGCTATTTATAAATCCGGTTTTGTCCCACCCCATCTATCATAGAACTGTCTGGTACTACAACGATTCCAAACTAATCGATTTTTTTGCTCTCAGCATGTCATTTTTAAGAGTCAATAATTCTACACCTGACTAAATTCGTCTCCTCAAATAACCCAACAAAATAATATCGAAATATCTTTGAGAACCATTCATTTTAATATATCAGTTTTGTCAGTTACTTAGTGCGAATACCAACGCAGATAGCATGAAGTGTAAGCTATTCATACAAATTTTATTATTATTATTGTTTCCTTTAATTCCTAGAGGAACATAGGGCTTCAGCCGTGCGTCTCCACTGCTTTCAGTTCTCTGCTAGAGTCTTCACCTGGCTCCAAGTCCGCCCACACGTTTTCATCTCCTCTTCACATGACCTCCTCCATGTCACCCTTGCACTGACGACCAACTCGCCGCTTCCTATTCTGTTGGGTTCCACTCGAGCAATGGCTTATCTAGTGATGTCACTTGATGGTTTGTTTTCTCAGAGTATGGCCAATCCATCTCCATTTCTCCCCGCATATTTGTTTCGCAATCGGTTCCTGCTTGGTTCGCTCCCAGAGATCTCTGTTGCTGATCTTTTCTGGTCATCTGATCTTGGGTATAGAGCGAAGACAACTGTTGATGAAGGTCTGTAGTTTGTTCGAGATGCTCTTTATGACGCGCCAAGTCTCTTATCCGTATAGCAGCACTGACTTCATATTTATGCCAAGGTAGACCATATACTCAAATCAGTTAGAAAACTGATTGGAAGAAAGGGTCTCCTTTCAGACTGCCGAAGAAGGGCACTTCAGGTCTCTGTAAGGACTTGCACTGAATCGTGCTTCTCCCTTTCACATCAAGCACAATGTTAATCCACTTTATCCTGGAGAGACTAAAAGATCCACTGGGTGCAGAATCCCACCACAAACAGAATAAGTTGGATTTGGCAAAAGCAAGTCTTGTGCAGATCGAATTGCAACTCCACGCTTCATCACCAAACAGAGCAAAGATTGGTGGTCAAATCTGTACCTCAATTTTATCGACTTTGCGAAAGGCCTTCGACAGTGTTGATCATGTAGTAATGTAGAAACTACTACCATACTATGAAGTGGCCGAAATCTCTAACAACCTCATTCAACAGTTATATATATATATATATATATATATATATATAACAATGCCACGTGTTGGGTGATCCTTTGAAGTCAAGACAAGGTTAAGACAAGACTGCCTTTTTATCACCAATGACATTCATAATTGTAGAGGACTAGACTATACGGAAGGTTGTACGTGGCAGCGGGAAGAAAGGAATACGTGGCACACATAAGAGTATCCTAGAAGATCTAGATTTTGCAGACGATTTATGCTTAATGTCACACAAACTCGAAAACTTATAGGCGAAAACCAACAAGTCGGCAGACGAAGCAACAAAGACACGAGTTCCAGTGAACATAAAGAAGGCGGAGGTAACGAAGACAACCACCATCACCACCAACAACAACCAGCAGCAATCACTATCAACGGGAGAAGCTTGGAAGAAGTCAATTCCTTCACTTACATTAGCATCATCCTTCCATGCACATGATGTTGTATCGACAAGAATGTAAAAAGCAGAATCGTAAAGTCAAGGCAGATTTTCATCAATCTGAAATCAGTAGGGGGAAACCTGCTACACTCAGCATAGAGTACATCATTCAGATTTCCGGATCCAATGTCAAGTCAGTCAGTCAGTTCTTCTACATTGGTCAGAAACTTAGTTCACGTATCACCAGGAGCATTTCCAGTAGTCTACTGAAGACTTCTATCAACAGCTGACGCCTACGCTGGCTCTATACTGAAGACCAGATGGCTGGCCGAGCAGAAGGAATTTGCAACAAGAAATGTTGGAAAGGGAACAAGATATATACTGAAGAAATTATTTCAGACAGAAAAATATTACTTCAGATTGTGTTATAGTCTATTATATTACTTGAAGATTCTACACAAGGAGTGATCACCTTGTGGTGAGAGCTGTCTACTAGCCAAATTGGTAGACAGTAATTTACGTCAATATTTACGTTCCCAAGATTTGTCGTGAGAAAATGTGAACAAAGATTGATTCAAAATCGACCACAGCAGACTTTGCGTAGGTGGATGCAGTTAACATATAGAGGATTTGACATTCAAGAAACAGTCACAAATAGATGAAAGATTAACTTTACGTGAGAAACAACTATTTGGAAGACTGTGTTTGTTTACTTAAATATCCATAGTAATGTACATGCAAATATATGAATATGTGTTGATTTCCTTAATAAATGATCTGTTGCCTGACTCTTGCCTTCTGTTGTTACAACCTTACAAGGAAATATGCTGGAAGTTTTGTATTGTGTATAAATGCATTTTTCAGAATAGAACTAGTATTCAAGTGTTGGTTTGTAGGGATTTGATTGATTGGTTACAGGATATCATCATGAGCTGGCATTGGTTAAAGAACTATTGGAAAACCAGTCATGGAGTACTAGAAAGGTGTTTCATCCTAGTTTAGGACTCTTCATCAGTACGCACCCATGCTGCTGAGTTTGAACCCAGGATCTTCCGAGTACAAGGTGAGTTAGCTCGTAGACCATCAGACCACTGGGACTCAATGCAACGGCCCATCAATTCCAATCGATGTAAGCTTATGATGAAACCAACCGATTAAATCCCTACAAACCAATACTTGAAAATCAATGAGATGGTCATCAGCGAATGGCCCTATTCAGGTAGGTAGTTACCTGGGGTTCTGGTGAGAAGTCGTGACCAGTAGGGTGCAGCAGGTTGGGTTTGAGGACAAATACTCTCCGTTGACACTGACCAGTGGTCGAGCTGTATCGTGAATAGGCAGAAACTGGAATTCATGGGCCATTAGATCGGGTTCCGGTGGCTTAATGGTCTATTAATAGGAATATTTCTTTGATTATTATGATGATATAATAATTGTAGAGCATAATGACGAATTTATCGAATTTATGAGTATTGTTTCTTCATTAATCAGTCTTTGAAATTTTTAATGACTATCCTCAACGAATTGGCAGAAGTTAAAATCAATGGGTAAGCTGATTCCTGTCCAACTCACTGAATGATGAATTAGCTTGATACCGTAAACTGAAGGACCTAGTTTCAATCCTGTACTAATAGGAGTGTGTCTGTCTTTGTAGTGCTGAAGAGTCCTAAATAAAAACGAAACACCTGTCTAGTATGCCCTGGTTTTCAATATTTTTCTAAATCACATCAATCTATGCTCCAACTTCAAGTAAACTGAATTCCTACAGACTAAATCTTGGAAAAAATTAAACGACTTGTAATTTTTTTCAAAACCGCCATTTTTATTTCAAATTATTTAATAAAGGATAAATTTTGTCTCAAAGAAGAATCAAACAATCAATCAAGAGAAGCATTTGTTGATCTTTGGTATCCAAGTTGGTATTATGTAATAAATTGTGAAAAAGAAAGAGAGAGAGTGAGAGAAAGAGATTATAAATTTTAGCCAAAAAAATAAACTGTAGGAAATCCATCGTAGCTCATTCAAATTACCCGCCAATTGAATCAATGTATCAATTTAAACAAAATTATCACTAGACTTATTACGATCATAATCTTTTTGCTCGATTTTCGTCTTTTCATCTTTTTGTATTAAATCTTGTTTACTTTCTCTTTCCAGTTGAGCTTTTTGATAGTTAACAAACATATGCCACCATTGATTTAAAATCTCCGCAGTGATTACATCACCAGCATTGCCACGTATCATACGTAATATAAAGAAACCATCACTTTTAACAAATTCCTTGATAAAATTTTCAATCCGTGGATCATCTACACCGACATTACATCCATTACAAGTTAAACTATGATTTTGATAATTGTCTAATAATTGTGAATGTATTGATACAATCAGATAATTACGAATATAGGCTGTTTGACGATTTTGTAGGGTTAAACGTATCAGCCAGAGAATTAGACTACCCGTCGTTAAAATACTGACAATAGCAATCCATAACCAGAGAAATATGTAGATTTTTTCATTGAACATATTTACAGGCAGTGCACAGATTGCCGTGAACACATTATTCTTTGAACCAAGATGACGTACATGCACTGGACAATAAGTTTGACGTGGAAAAAATTCGCTTTCAGTCCACTCGTGTTTCGAGGTCAGTGTACGAATCAGTCGTTGGCCGAAGGTGAACAAATTACCATGATGTCCTAAGAATGTACAGATTATATTCAACTGTCCAATAAGATTAATTAAATATAAGGCCTTAACAAAAATATATGCTAGTGAAATACAATTTCCCATACGTTTCCCTGCAATCAACAGTGAACCACCAGGGAGACGTGACATTTTCCGTTGAAGTTGTGACCATCTACCCGATCGATAATCGAAATGTTGACGGCCGAGTCGGAATAGGTGGTAAGCAGCTGATTCAACAAGTTTTTCACGTTTTGTGTTCTCTTCAGCTGAATTGGCTTTATGCGCCATGCTTAGTATCGCTTCGATATTTTCACCCATTACATGTGTAGCTAGCGACTGCCAGATGACATGAGGCAGGAAGAATAACATCGCTTGGATAGATAAACAAAATGGAACCCATTGATAGAAGGCTGTAACCAAAAAAAACAAAAAAGGACAAAATTAAGCGAAAGAAATGAAATTATGTCACGCGAAGTTGAAAATTGTAGATAAAGTTAAAAAATTTATTTTATTTTATTTTGATTACAGCTTGATGCCACACCGTATTTTTAGTACAAGTATGGCATTTTCAGCATGGATATCGGTAGCCCAAATTTAGCAGGCCGACCATTTATATCAGGTGTGCGTCGGCCGGGGATCGAACCCGGGACCATGTGCATGGTCGGCGAGAGTCCTAACCGCTGTGCAACCGACGCCGCTGGGTTCGTAGTCCACTTAAGCATACCGCACAATTGTCCACAGGCTGTTATCTTTTTCCCACACGATCTTCTTCATTCTTCTCTCGAACTAACGCCCAACGTTTCGTTTCCCATCCTGGTTCTCTTTCGAGAGAGGGCCTGGAGTGGAGTGCATATCGAAGGTCACTTAGGCATGTGTCTGATTCATCTCCGTTGTCCCCAGCATAACTGTTGAACAATTGGTTCTCGCCTGCTGGTTCCTTCCCAACGTTTCTCGTGGCTAATTCTTTCCAGCCAGCCAGGCATTTGATCTTCAATGGGCAGCTGTTGATGAAAATGTCCAGTAGACTACTGGAGATGCTCCTCGTGATGCGTGAACTAATTTTCTGATCCATGTGGAAGTATTGATTGACTGACTGACTGACTTGACGTTGGATTTGGAAATCTGAATGATTTACTTTATACTGACTGTAGCAGATTTCCCCCTACTGATTTCAGAATCTTCAAGGTTTGTACTGCCTTTCCAATTCCGGTTGGCTGGGTTTGACATCTTCATCTGTGCTGCCCAACTGCCTGTGGTTGAAACCGTGCTTCTTGACCAGATAAGTGAAGCCAGGAAGTAACCTCTGTCAAATTTCTCCCGCTGATGGTGATTGTTGCTGATCGCTGTTGCTGTTCGCCGGTTATCTTTATGAACTCCGTCTTCTCTACGTTCAGCTGGATGATTCCTGTCTTCGCCTCCAGGCAGCCTCTTCAGTCAGTTTTCGTGTGATTTCTCCTGAGTAAAAATCTTTGAGCTTGTGTGACATTAAACATAAGTCATCCGTATTAAACTTGAAAAAGAGAAGACGTTCAGCAAAGAGACTCTTTTCAATGGCGAATTCATTTACATAGCTGTATAATCGCATTTATATATAATTATTTGTGTGTGTGTACATCAGGTTTGTCAAGTTTAGATAATTGATCAGGTAATGCAAGAATGATTTGTCGGGTAATAAGATAGATTGCGTCCATTGCAAGTGTAGTGATTGAACAAACTTCTTCTGTATTCAGAGTTCAGGACGTAGCAAGTGAATCGCCATTGCTTCTGCACTTTGAAGAAGTCTGATTCGTACCCCTTTAGGAAGACTACTTCTTACTCTGTAGACGACTTTGAAGTTTGTTTGCGGTGTAGCTTGGTGTCCGGATTCTATCAGATGTTCTAAGATGGAACTGCGGGGTGTCGATTTTCTCCTTTGTAAAACGATGTTGGTAAGTGTTCGGTGATACATTTAGAAAGCGAGCACTGGGTACAGCCGACATACCTGGCTCCACACGAGCAGGTGAATTGATGAATACACATTGATGAGGCCAGCAGCGGTGGCTTATCCTTCACGTTCACATGAATCATAGGTTTTGTGGAGAAGTTTAATCGTAGCTCAGCTGCGAAGAAGGTCTTCTTAAGTGAGCGCGATATTCGATTTTTTAGTGTTTCCGCAGATATGTCTCTATTGAATTGAAGGTTGATGTAGAGTAGTTTTTCAGGACGCTAAGCTTGGGCGGCTTTTGTGGTCTAGGATTCATAGATTTTGCAATAAATCTTTCTGGATAACAATTCTCGACGAGGATTCTCTTGAGATTGTCCAGTTTATCTTCTACGGTGTCCGGGGTGCAAATTCTGCGAACTCTGTGGCTGAGTGAACGGATCAGGTTTCGTTTGGTGTATAGGGGTACCCAACTGTGAAAGTTAGTAAGCTGTCCGTTCCACGTCGACTTTCTGTGGATAAACCTTTTCAGTGTTCCATCCTGTTCTTGTCTTGTTAACTGGACGTCAAGAAAGGATATTTTGGAGTTAAATTATTATGTGGATATTAAATTTACCTAAACGAACGAATAAATGGTACAACACTGAGCACCATCGCGCACTAGTTCATCGCTTGAGTGGAACTCGAATGGAAAATGACGAGTGAAGCATCCAAAAGTGACACAGAGGAGGTAATTAGAGGAGGACATGAGAGAACATGAACAACCATGGGGCCAGCTAAACTGAACTGCACAAAATAGGACAAATATGAGATATGCTGTTGGAAACCTATTTCCCATTCAGAACCCAAGAGAACAATAATAATAATAAATAGTTCACATTTATAGTTAGGTTTGTAAGGATTAGTTTTGTTTTTACGAGTTGATCACGGATTGATACCAGTTAGATAACCATTGAAAACCAGGGAGTACTGGACAGCTGTTTCATCCCCCTAGCTTGAGAATCATCGGCAGTACGCACCCACACTAAGGGGTTCGAACCCAGGACCTTCCGGTTACAAGGCAAGCTACTTTGTGTACCATTCAGCCACTGGGATCCGATTCAACGCCCATCCCATGAATTCTAACTTCTACTAATTCCTGAGCCAATGAATCGGATCCCTTGCCTTGTAACCGGAAGGTCCTGGGTTCGAACCCCGGGTGGTGTGTGCATACTGCCGATGATTCCCAAACTATTGGGATGAAACAGCTGTCCAGGACTCCATCCTGGTTTTCAATGGTTCTCTTACTGATATCAATCGGTGATCAACTCATAAAAACAAAAACTGACCCTTACAAACCACAAGGAAAATAAACTTAATAATTTCTTTAGGCTGTATGCGTCTGCTGAGAAGCCAACGAAATAAACAATGATGGTACCATCTCATGCTTCATAAATCATCATTCCTGCAGTATTCGGTATTTGAAAGTTATTCTATTGCTCATTATTATGACTGACCACAAGATGAAGCTGACCGAAGTTCCAGGGGAAAGTCTACTTCGGCAGGTTTCACTACAATGGGTATGGGAACAAATACCCTCTGATGGCAATGGCTGGTATATGTGTAAAACTTTGGCACTGTGGTAGTAAGTAATTCCATATTAAGATTATAGGTTTCCAGGCCGTAGGTGTTACGAACTTCCTGAAATAATTTGAGCGCCGAGTCAGATTGATTCATTATAAATTATTTAAATTAATCCCAGCGTGTTAAGAAAATCAAAACAAGATTTTTCTGAACGTTTCGCTGTGTAAGCCACAGCTTCTTCAGCAGATTTCTGCTGAAGAAGCTGTGGCTTACACAGCGAAACGTTCAGAAAAATCTTGTTTTGATTTTCTTAACACGCTGGGATTAATTTAAATAATTTATAATAATTCCATATTAGTTTGTTTATTAGATATATCACACAGTCTGTGAAACAGTATTATTTACTGGATGACACCGTTTCGAACAAAATTTATTGTTCATAATCATATCATCAATTGTAATCACACGACTTTGAAACTTGAGTTTTATAGTTTTCTTTGTTCTCTCCTATTTGTCGCAGTTGAGGTAGTAGAGGTTTCCAGATGTCTGAATGGACAGGAATTGGATCATTCTTACTACGCGTGTTTTCAGTTGACTCGAAAAAACAAAGCATTTTTATCAATCTCTCCCTCCATCCTGTGACATTAGATTTTAAAACTGTTATCCTATCCCATCCCATCCTGTTGTATCACTAGATGTGTGTAACTGCATGTATTGAGTGGTACAGCTGAACTATTCTCCAGATTTCCTACCTTATTCGGGTCAACTAATCTAGATTTTGCTGCCAGGGCTTTGTGCTTCACTAGTCTGACTGACTGCCCCTGTTCTACTACTCTGACCTATGTATTTGACCTTACAATCATTGCAGGTGGGGTATTAGATTAACTAAATTGTTTTGTTTAATTGACTTCACAGGATTGATCCGTTAACCGACAAAGCTTGTTTATAACTGAGTTTTTAGGTGGTTTGAATACCAGTCACTTTTATTCCTGCTTGTATTGTTAAGAATTCTGCTCAAGGCTTCCGAGGTTCCTTCCTTGTATGGAATTACTACTGATGATTTAGATTCTTTATTGTTGTTGTTGTTATTATCTTGCGCATGTTTGATTTGCATGTCGTCAATACTATTAATACTATTATTATTTTTATTATTATTATCACTATCACTACTATCATTATAAATTTCATTTTTACATTTCCCTACATACTTTCTGACTAATTTATCACAGTAATTATTAAGTTTCAAAGCTTCTCTTATATGCCTCACTTCCTGTCTTAGATTTTCCCTGGTACTACTTAGTTTTTGCACTCTATTACTTAAACACTTCCCCGATCCTATTTTCACTGACATAGGATGGGATGAACGGAAGTCCAAATATCTGTTTGAATTTGTGGGTTTCCTGTAAACACCATTGCCTGGTGGCTTGCTAATATATATAGCTAGTTCACAGAAGTTAGAATTCATGGGCCGTTGATTCCGGTTCCAGTTGCTGAGGGGTCAATGTAATTCACCTTGTAATCTGGACGTCCTTAATCCCATCCCCCATAGAGGAAGCACAAATCCGTACTGATGAAGAGTCGCAGACAAGAATGAAACGACACTTGAGTAATCCCTTGTCTTCATTAGTTCTATAACTAATGCCATTTCGTAATTTAATCGCAAAACAGTCATATCTCTGCAAAACCAACAAATGAAAATCAATAAATGCTTTCACTTACATATATCAGCTTTCTGACGTAGCCTTTCCCAATCTTCATAACTTGTCGGTGTTTCATCCTTCTCACGTACAGCTACGGTACCACGTACCCAGCAGACAGATTCAGCGAATTCATTGAATTTATTATCTGGTGCTGTAGGCAGTGTACATGTTATCGGTCTAAGGAAATAAACATTTGCCATTGTTACACCGGATAGCATTAGAATTATAGCACAACTGAAAAAATGATTCAGCCGATCAGTAAAATCCTCCAAATGTTGAAATGCTCCATTTCTTGCACCAGTTACTCTATCCAGAAAGCCTAAACCAAGCTCTAGACCCATTGGAAGTTTAAAACAAAATAAGGTCTCTGCTGAAAAATACCAGAAAAAGAATGATTGAATGAATCAATGAATTGAGATGATTAAAAAAAATCAATTAAATCAGTTAAGTTAATGAGCAAAACAAATGTGAAATTTCAGCACAGTCTAGTCTGACAATTAAGATTATTCAAATCACAATATGTGTTATGTCTTTTGTACAATATATGGCAATTGAGAAAGCCAACATATTTGCATATAAAACTGCATACTACTAGCTAATTGAAATAAGTAGCTAATTAAATACCACTCAAATCAACCAGTAGTGCTTGTTATTTATTTATTTATTTATTTATTATTATTATTGTTTCCTTTAGTTCCTAGAGGAACACATGACTTTAGACGCACGTGTCCATTGCGCCCGGTTCTCTACCAACGCTTTTCACTTGGCTTAACGCCTGCACGTATGCTTTCATCTCCTATTCGCATCATCTCCTCCATGTCACCCTCGCAGTGACGACCAACTCGCCGCTTCCCATTTAGTTGGGCTCCACTTGAGCAATGGACTGGCGTGTGATATCACTCACTTGATATTTTTTCTCGGAGTATGGCCAATCCACCTCCATTTCTTCGTGCATATTTGTTGTACAGTCAGTTCCTGCTGGGTTGGTTCGCTCTTAGAAATCCTTGTTGCTGGTCTTTTGTGTCCGGTCATCTGATCTTGAATGGTATTGAGCAAAGACAGCTGGCTGTTGATGAAGGTCTGTAGTTTGTTCGAATTGCTCTGAGTGATGCGGCCCCAAGTCTCTGATCCGTGCAGCGAGTAGCACTGACTTCACATTGGAGTTGATAATCCGGATCTTATTTTCATTTTCATGATGAGTGGTGTGTGTTGATCTCCACACAGACTTGAGAGAAATGAAAGCTTGTCTTGCTTTCCGGATCCTCTTTTTGATATTCTCTTCAGTTCTGTCCGCCTGTAGTTGAAATGATACTTCCCAGGTAGGTATGTAGGTAAGTAGGTGAAGGAGGTTGCTCCTTTCAGATTTCTCCCATTTATGCTGGTTGATTGCCGACTGTTGTTGTTGCTGTTTCTGTTGACCAGGAATCTTTACCATCTCCGTCTCCACCTTCTCAATGTTCACTTGAAGGAAGTTCTATCTCTGATGCTTCTTCTATCGCCAACTTGTTGCTTTTCATCTCCTGCATATCTTCGAGTTTGTGGTAAATCAGACAAATATTATCGGTGAGGTCCAGATCCGCCAAGGTTTTTGTGTTGGTTCATTTTATGCCTGTTTCCTCGCTGCCCACTGTCTGTCTATCTGTCGCATCATCCACTGTACCGCCATCAATCAGGATAATCATTGGAGACAGTAGGCAGCCCGCCTTGCCTTACTCCCTTCTTCACTTCGAAGGATTCCGTGAGTTTCACAATGTGGATTACTTGGCATGCAGTATTATCGTACAACTGTTGGATGAGGTGTATACTTTTTGGTGGCAACCCGTAGTAGCGAAGTAGTTGCCGAATCACCTCTAAATCGTTACTGCGCTGTCGAAGGCCTTTTCAAAGTCAATGAAGTGTTTGCTGGCCAACCAGATTATCGGAGTGATTTTAACACCATTGGATGCCTGTTTTGCTTGTTTGGGGTTGAGCTCATCAGCAGTGAACATGGTTCGACCCAGCAAAACACTCGAATCAGTTCACACCACCCAAATTCTGCCTAGCTACCATGGCGAACTGGTAAAAAATGAAATTAAATTCACCATTTCGCAGTTTAATAAAAAATGTGGTGGTGTTATACAAACAAAGTGTGTGTCAGCGGAATCTTATTCTCACGTATTCCCACAGTTCATTAGTGCATTAGCAACAGAATATGATATATATATTTCAAATGTAAATAAAATTAATCACAGGAATTCGTCCACATTGACAGTAGGAATAAAGTCAAAAATGTGCAAAGCATAAAATGAGAACAATTACTATTTATTAATGATGGCAATAACAACAGTGAGTTTGTTTCAAACAGTATTCTCAATACAGCATGAGAAATTTAGGCAATTTATAGAGTATTAAACAGCTTTACGACAATGCTGCATGTCAAGTAATCCACAACGGGAAACTTACGGAATCCTTCGAAGTGAGGACAGGATTAAGATAAGCTGACTGGCTGTCTACTATCGCCAATGATTTTCCTGATTGATGGCAGTAGACTGAATAATGCGACAAACAGCGGGCAATGAGGAAACAGGCATAAAATGGACACACACAAAAAACTTCAAGGGTTCTGGACTTCGCCGATGATATATGTCTGATTACACACAAACTGGAAGATATGCAAGCGAAAATCAACAAGTTATCAGAAGAAGCATCAAGGATAGCAAGGACTTCAGGTGAACATAGAGAAAACAGAGGTGATGAAGATTCCTGGCGAATAGCACCACCAACAGCAACAGCAAAAATAACAGATAACAATCAGCATAAATGGAAGGAACCTGAAAGAAACAACCTCTTTTACCTACCTTGGAAGCATCGTTTCAACTACAGGCGAACGGAACTGACGAGGATATCAAAGCAAGAATTGGAAAAGCAAGACAAGCTTTCACTACTCTCAAGTCTGTGTGGAGGTCAACACTCAGCACTCAGCATCAAAAATAAGATTCAGATTTTCAACTTCAATGTGAAGTCAGTCAGTGCTACTATATGGATCAGAGACTTGCACTGCGCGTCATGAAGAGCATCTCAAACAAACTACAGACCTTCATCAACAGCTAGCTGTCTTCGCTCAATAATCAAGATCAGATGGTCGGCCAGAAAAGATCAGCAATAGAGATCTCTGGGAGCGAACTAATACAGCAGGAACCGATTGTGAAACAAATAGGCAGAAGGAAATGGAGATGGATTGGCTGGCCATACTCTGAGGAAACCGTCAAGTGAGTGACATCACTAAACAAGCCATTACTCGAATGGAACCCAAAAATAAAGCTAGTTGGTCGTGAGTGCAAGGGTGACTTGGAGGAGGTCATGTGAAGAGGAGATGAAAACGTGTGGGCAAACTTGGAGCCAGATGAAGACTCAAGCAGAGAACCGAACGCAATGGAGACGCACGGGTGAAGCCCTATGTTCCTCTAGGAATTAAAGGATACAATAATAATAATAATAATAGAGTATTCAAGCTAATGTTAGCCTCAAATGGGATGGTGAAGGGAAAAACAAAAAGTAACAATTATTATAGAGCTTAAATGATGTTAACACTTATGAGAAAATAAGCGCACGCAACTCTGAGAGAGCTATAAATATAAGAAGAATAATAACAATAAAACTTGATGGAATAAGGGTGGAGAAAATGGTTTATTTAATACTGCAAAGAAGGTTAGTTAATTATTTCTTGTCTGACATTATTTTCATCACATAAAATTATTATTATTATTGTTCCCTTGGGTTACTAGTGGAACATACGGCTTCAACTGCACGTCTCCATTTGCTTCTGTCTTGTGGTGTACTTTTCACTTGCGTCCATGTTATTCCATACTGTTTCATCTACTCCTCACACGATCTCCTCCATGTCACCCTTGCACCGACGAACCACTCGCCGCTTCCCTTTCGGGTTCCACTCGAGGGCCTGACGCGCGATGTCACTCAACGGCCTCCTCAGCGAGTGTCCAATCCATCTCCACTTCCTCCTGCATATTTGTTGGGCGATTGGTTCCTGTTTCGTTTGTTCCCATAGTTTCTTGTTTGTGATTCTTTCCGGCCATCTAATCTTCAGTATGGAGCGAAGACAGTTGTTGATAAAGGTCTGCAACAGGCTGTTGGAAATATTCTTGGTGACCCGCCAAGTTTCTGATCCGTATAGATGAACTGACTTACTTGACGTTTGTATTGAAAATCCGAATTTTGTTGTTGATGCTGAGTGACGAAGATTTCCAGATTGGTTTCAGGTTGATGAATGTGTTTCTCGCCTTCCCGATTCTCGACTTGACATCCTCGTCCGTCCCACCTGCCTGTAGTTGAGACAATGCTCCCTGGATAAGTGAAAGAAGTAACCTCTTTCAAATCCCTCCCGTTGATGGTGATTGGCACTGGATGTTGCTGCTGTTGTTGGTTGGTTATTTTCATGACCTCCGTCTTGTCTATGTTCACCTGCAGTCCTGTCTTTGCTGCTTCTTCGACTAGTTTGTCGGTTTTCGCTTGTAAGTCTTCGATTTTGTGTGACATCAAACATAAATCATCCACGCGCGAAATCCAGGTCTTCTAGGTTCTTCACGTCGGTCCAGGATATCCCTGTCTTCGCGTTTCCCACTGTTTGACGCATAATCCAGTCCACCACAATCAAGAATATCACTGGTGATAATAAGCACACTTGTCTGACTCCTGTGTTTACTCCAAACGCCTTGCTGTTTTTCGTTGTGGATCACTTGACATGTGCCGTTGTCGTACAGTTGTTGAATAAGGTTGATGAATATTTGGGGTACTCCGTAGTACTCGAGTAGTTTCCAAATTACTTCGCGGTCAACGCTGTCGAAGGCCTTCTCAAAGTCTATGAAGTTGAGGTAGAGATTTGATTGCCATTCCATCACATAAAATACGTACCAAATATGACATTGTGGATTTCTTATACTTAGACGTGCACGCAAAAAGTTTTTTGAAATGACTTCTTGTTCTGTCCGAGGAGACACAGGATGAAAGCTGCAAGTAAAGTGGATACTCACCGTATGAAAGAATGTCTTTAGCGAATTTTGTTGCATGAAATCAAGTGCCTGTCAATGACAGTGTCAATGATATGGCCCAATGGGATACCACTCGCCCTACTGACTGACAGTCTTCAGAATTCTACGAAGTATGACACAGTCTTTTTTAAGCAGTGTAGGAAAGAATAAGTAGGGGTGAATAGTAAAGAAGAACAGGTAAGATGCACTAGTTGACAAACTGTAATAGAACGAGGGGTTGAATAATTCCCGAGTGCTTTAAATTCCTAATGTTAATGGTCAAACGGAATTTATTTTTAGAAATCGTTAAGATGTGT